GCCAGGCTCACCTCGCTCTAATGGCAACTCCAACCGATTACTGCGTGTCTTCCTCCCGCAATCCCAACACGTCATCCCAATCCAACCCCCCTCATTCCTACCCAGGCCCCATCTTCCCTCACCTGTACCCATTCCCACCCTAAATTCCAATCCAGATCCCAGCCTACCATCTGGCCGGACCACGCCCATCCCACCCCTAATCTTCTCACTCTAGAGCACCCCACTCAGCTTTGTTCACATCGCTATTTTACCTGCTGTGGGTCCTTCAGTCAGAACTGGGCAAAACTAGGTTGTGGGATGAGCTGTGGACTTTTTACCACTTCAGTCACAGTCAATTGGGTAGCTGCCAGGCCCAGTGACATAGGTTTGTAATCCCAGCTACTTGGTGGGCTGAGGCAGGAGGATCATGGACTGAAGGCCAGCCTGGTTTCAAATTCAGAGGCAGAGTTGGAAAACTTATCAAGAAGAGGGGTGACTAGGTATGTAATGCATTGGCAGAGTCCTTGCCTGGTTTGCATGAAGCTCTGGGTTCAGTCTCCTGACCATATAAACCAGGGATAAGGATGGCATCTGTAACCCCAGCATTTGAGAGGGAGAGGCAGGAAGATCAGAAGTTCAAGGTCATCCTTAGCTACATAGGCAGCCTGAGATACATGAGTCCCTGTCTCAAAAAAAAAAAAAAAAATGATGTTGGGCTTATGTCTGGGGCTCTCCTCTATCTTGAAGAGAATCTACTCCTAGAATTGCCCACTGCACTCTTACTTCTCTTTCTGGGTGTCCTCCGGCTGGCCACATCTATATCTCTCTCTCCAGATGATAGGGAAGTTGGGGGAAGCCCTGGGGTGCAGGAAATAGAAACTGAATCTTACATTGAGGAAAGCCACCCATGGTGACCCTGCTCTTGTCCTTTCTCTGCTTGCTGGAGTGGGCTTCTGAGGTCAGCAGTCAGGGAGTCAGAGCCTCAGCCTGTCTTCCCTAGACGTCCTGGGACACTTACTTGATTTCACATGCAGTCAACACAGGGTTTCAAAGTATGCCAGGGCACTCTAATGGCTCTGGCACGGCACATGCCAACTCCAGTGTGGGCATTTAAGCCCTTTCTTCAGTATGCCCCGATTGGGGACTCGAGGATTAAAATCAGAAACTTCTCTCTGAGGACAACGCTGTTCAAAAGCCATGTTCACAGGAGGATTTCTTTCAGGGCCACAGGCTCTCTTCCTCCCTTTCTCCCAGGACCAGAATTTATCCCCAGGGACTGCTGGGTGCCTAACTAGGTTGACCACCCCAATCCAAGCCCATGGCACCTCCCCATCTACACCAGGGTTTTCACTCAGGGACAGAACTCTTTCTTTCTGGGGCTGTCCATCCTCTTTCTTTCTTTCTTTCCTTCTTTCCTTCTTTCCTTCTTTCTTTCTTTCTTTCTTTCTTTCTTTATTTATTTATTTATTTATTTATTTATTTATTTATTTATTTATTTTTTAAACAGACCACTGGGCATTTGGAGTGGAACAGGCTGAGTCAACATGCTGGACTCCAGTGGGACTGGTCCCTGTGGTACTGGGACTGGGCCAAATGAGACACCATTGCCATATGGTCTCTCACACACTGCATTCTGGGATTTGGATGTCTAAATCCCACCATTCCTCAACAAGAGTCCTCATCGCCATCTCTAGGACCTCAGTTCTAGGAGACAGGGAGTTGGGGACAGCAAAGATATAGTTTGCTGATGTTCCGGCTGCAGGGGTACTGGCCCCCGGCACCATGTATGTGGATCTAGGCCCTAGGGGTAATCCAACCCCAAATGTACTGCACCCAACAGGTTGACTTTTCTTCCTTCCTTCCTTCCTTCCTTCCTTCCTTCCTTCCTTCCTTCCTTCCTTCCTTCCTTCTCTTTCTTTCTTTCTTTCTTTCT